AAGAATTTGCCTTCATGCCAAATGGATGTAAATAAATATATAGGAATTGCATAGTATATATGTAAATGTCCCTTTTCTTTTTCATGTCCTGTTGATTCATCAAAACTATCTGATATGTATTTTTAAAATCATAAATAACGGGTAGTATATCACCTAAGTGTGCACAAAATATTGTTAATAGAGCTGTTTTCAATAGTTGTGAAAATGGTAGATTAGTTAATTCACAGTCTACAATAAAGAATAGTTCAGTGGTTGAATATCGAATTGATACTCTGGAACAATCTCAACCATCAACCATATCACAGTTTAGGACAACAGCCTTGTAACTCTGATGTCGGGACCTAGCCTACATGTCTGTGAGTGATCAAATATAAGTTTCTTTATATTGCACCTTTTATATATATATATATATTAAGGCCTTCAATGCATCGTAGGGGTCGACCCACATGTGCATATACTCAAATCTACCTCCAGGAAAACGTGTGCATATAGAAGTAAACGATGATGGTTTGTCATGTAACATACCAGAGTTTAATATATTAGGATCATATATGGGTGTTATTGCTAGAGATCCTGTGTTAGCACCCATATCATTTCCTGATTGGCGCAACAAAGGCATGGAGCCTTTTAAAAAAATATATTAGAAGAAATAGATATATTTAAGAATATATTGAATAAATTATATCATCAATTGCTATTTTCCACGTAATTTTTAACCAATTTATTTGCAGGCAAAATTTGAAATTTCTAGCCATATACGTCATTGGATTTTGAAATTTGTTGGCACTAAATGACATAGCTACCATAATAGACTAAAGTCAGAGCATTGGGATAGTCGTTTCATACAGGAGATTATGGAGAATGCTCTTGAAGGAGCAAACACACTTCACTGGTGTTAACTTTCGGCATAGTGGTCACAACCAAATGATCATGTTTTCATTATATTTTATCTATTTTTGAATTGAATAAAAGAATTAATATTTTTTCTTGCAGATAAGGGCGATAAAAAATACTAAAAAATGCAAAAAAAAAAAAACAAACATTTCCTCACACAATAGATCGGATTAGCTTTGTAAGAAGGCGGAATGAAACTGTGAGATGTTATTTTTTTAATAAATTATAAATAGTAAGTATACCAAAATTAATTTATTTACCATTTTTTCCAGATTATTCGTGATAGACTGCAATTATGGAGACTTAATAGGATACACAAGGATGAGACATGATCATGTGAAAATGCTGAGAAATAGGTAATAATATTAGCTTGTTATATTTATAGTGATTAATTAAATAATCATTTTGATTTTAATTATATATACTTTTGTAATACAGAGAAAAACTTGTGCGATGTTAAAGATAGAAGGGTTAACTCAAGAAGATGGTAATATAGAAGCAAATGAGAGGACTTTCTGGCTATCATGGGTCTTGAACACCATGGAAGGGTACGAACACAGGGGTTTGGAGTCATTCCAACTCGATTTTTTCAACACAGTACCTCATTTGTAGGTGAAAGCAATAACATGTCTATATATGCTTGAGTTGAAAAATTAGAAGATGACATGCGTTCATTATGAAATGAGGTAGGAGAAATCATTCAACAAATGCAATCAAATTATCAACCACAAGGAGGATCAAATTCGGTATGTTATTAAGTAACTAAATATTTTATTTCATTTTAATCATTTTAAAATTATTAATTGATTGTGTTTGTTTTTAATAGGGATGCAACAAAACTTAGGTTGAATGACGAATTGAGGGGGAATCTCATGTATTGGTCATCCTTTTTTTTATGCACTTTGTTTATTATATTTTGATTTCTTATATTGTATGGCTGATGGAAGGTTATCTAATAGATTTATAGTTATTTTAATTTGTAGGGGATGTTACAACTTAGTTCAGAGTGTATTTTTATGCTCTTTGAGCATATATTTTTTAAGGTATTGGAAACTGAATTGATGGATTGATATATGTTTTTATGTATTTGAGGTATCTGTTCGTGTGATAGGGTAATTTGTATGGATTTACTTACTTTAACTTTAGGGCATTTACATACATACCACCCAATTCCTATTTTTTTACATATCTAACACCTAAACTTCACTTTTTTTTTTACGTTAATATCACCCAAATCTTTCATATCACAACAAAAATAACAATATTTTAACCTTTAAAATGTGAAATGCACATTATCTTGGGTAATTAATGTGGCATATATAAGTAAAAATTGAATCTTAGTTGTTAGATATGTAAATACATAGGAATTAGGTGGTATGTATGCAAATCTTCCTTCAAGTTTATGCATGCATGGTCAAGATGAACTGATGCATCCAATATCACACTTATTGGTCTGTTCAGCATACAATGAGTATCAATATGTACATAAATGGTTGATGCTTATGATTAATTTTGGTTGCTTGTTTTATGAACCTTTGTTTAATTTTTTTCCCATTTCTATTAACCTGAAATTAAACGAAATTTGCAGTTAAAGTTTAGATGCCTTAATTGTTAAAGCTGCAATTGAACAATGTTTAAGGATGTACATGTACGCAGTTCTCTGAACAATGCCATTCTTCTGTATACTTTCTTTTGTTCTCTGTTCATGGGCTGTTGAAATTAATAATATAGAAGACATGTATGTAATTGAATTTTTGTGCAGATTTTGCTTTATCAAGTTTAGGTGTTAGATATGTAAATACATAGGAATTAAGTGGTATATGTGTAATCAATCGTAATTCTTAATGTTTTTCACTCAAGTAGAAACATTAGATTGAGTTGCATCCCTTCTTAGATCAAATTTTGTTGTCTGCTTAGATTTCAGTGACTTCAAGTTTTGATTGCACCTATTGGTGGACAATCTCAAACCCTTCTATTTGTATTTAGTCCTAATCTCCCTATTACATGTAGAGAAATCTTAATTTTTACCAGATTAATAATATCTTTTGGCGGTGGCTGGACAACTTGTGCGCTTCATTATGTTGAATTTTTTATTATGTTAATTTTCTTGAAGGTGTGCATTTTGCATTACTATGTCAAAAATAGTTACAAGTAAAAAAGTAACTCAAAAAGATGTGATTGGCCTCCACACTAATAACATAAGAAAAAAAAGTGGATCACCAAAGTGGTTCGACCGCTCGAAAGAACTAAGCAAAGCAACTTTAGCATAAAAATTAGCTGTTTTGTTACAAAATCTATGGGTAAAACAATGTAAAATTTGTTTGAAGTCTAAAAGAAAAGTAAGGTCAACATCCAAACCCGCTTCTCTACTCCAAGTGGTGAGATTCATGCTTTGTCGAAGAAGTTTTATAATGTTCAGGCTATCCCCCTCAATGATAAATGGCCATTCACCAAGTTAGGCATCAAAAAAACCCCATTCTCAAACTTCTTTTAAGGTTACTTAGATGTGCAAAAGGATTTGTGTAATTTGATTTTTTTTTTAATATTTTGTTCTACAACATGTCATTTGGACTAACGTACAGTGCTTATTCATATGAATACTTTGAGTTTCCAGTTGTTTCTTCTTTATTTTTTTGGGGCATTTACTTGCTTAGCACACAATTCTTATGTATTTGCATGTCTCGTACAAACTTTCATCTTTACACAAACAATACTCGAATCTTTAATAGTACTATTACCACCTTTTAAAAGTGAAATGCATCCTTTCATGCATTGGTTTAAAACAACAAAGTGCTATATATGTTAATATGAAAGTTATGGTGTGAGATATCTAAATGCATACGAATTGTAAATTTCCTTTTATATTTTTCTAGTTTTATGACAGAAAAATAAACATTGTTTCTACACCTCTCCGATATACTATAATTTGCTGATTTCTGATTATGCAACCTGAGTTTTTATCACCTTTTACTATGTAAATGATGACATAAAGGCCCTCAAATATATGCATACTAAATGATACTTTTGATATGATTTTAAGATATAGTGTCGGATTTTTATTTTATTCAAATAAATTGATATCATTTTTTATACAAACCCAAGTCTTTTTAGTACAGCTGTGCATTTGGCAATTTTTTTTTGTTTGGAAGATTTACATGCATACCACAGAATTCTTATACGTAGACATATCTAACATCTAAAATCCAATATTTACATGCATGCTATTGTACCCATGCATCAAATGATGTATTTTTCTTTTTGTATTCATAGAAAAGGTGGTCGGTAGGATCAAACTCGACATGCTATTTTCATGCTATATTTTGAAGTAATTACATATTTTATTTCATTTTATTCATCTTAAATTTATAAATTGATTGTGTTTGTTCTTAAAAAAGAACCTTAATTGGAATGACGAATTGAGGGAGGAATCTTACATATTGATCATCTTTTATTTATGCACTTTTGTTTAACATATTTTGATTTCTTTTATTGTAAGATTGATTGAGATTTGCCACGAATTGCTAGATGTTTTAATGTTTAAAGGATATTACTACTAATTTGTAGAATTTATGCACTTTTATGCTCATTGAATACTTTTTTTTAAAATTATTGGAAACTAAAATGATGGGTTGATATATGTTTCGATGTATTCGAGATATTAGTACTATTTTATATGAATTATGTGCTCTCTTTTTTTATTGTTTTTCATATTTGGGCCATTCACATGCATACTACCCACTTCTATGTAATTTTCATATCTAATATAAATTTTATTTTTTTTTTACATTTGCAGTGTTAGACATAAAAATACATATGTAAATCTTCTTTCATATATATTTATGTTATTATATATACAAGTTTATTGAAAATATGTATATTAAAAAAAATTAATATTATTATATATACAAGTTTATTGAAAATATGTATATTAAAAAAAATTAATATTATTATATATACAAGTTTATTGAAAATATGTATATTAAAAAAAATTAATATTATTATATATACAAGTTTCGCTACAAAGAATGATCACTTCAGGAAATATTTCATGATGGTTTTAGAACCGCTGCTATAAGTCTTTGCTGTGCTAATGATTAGTAGCGGTTTTAATCGCTGTACTTAAAATCACAGTTAAAAATTGCTGCGAAAAAATAGCGTTGCTAAAAGTCTTCTTTAATGATTTTAGACTCGCTGCTATAAGTCTTTACAGCACTAATAATTAATAGCAATTTTAACCGCTGCAATGTTACTAGCAAATAAACCACTGCATAAGAGATCGCCACTAAAACTTTTCCCCAGCAGTTTTAAAAACCGTTGCTAAAAATCTTTGCAGTGCTAGGAGTTACAGCAGCTTAAAAACTGCAGCAACAAGAATAGCAGCTGTTTTTGATGCTGCGATTGCCTATATAAAATTTTGCAAATTTTTTTTTTTTTTTTACAGCAAGCTTGTCATCTGACTGGTCTGTGGATTAATATCTCTAAAGCATTTATTCTCCCATTCTCTGTTCACGCAGTAAGCTGACAATCTGAGCGTATATGGTCTCTTTGATGGCATCTCTATTCCCAGCATTAAGTGTGCATACTGTAGCCTTGGGATGATTCCGTAGCCCAGAAACTGCATTTTTAGTAAGCAAGCACAGATGAGGTGTTGAGGAAATAAATTCCATGGATCAACAACAGATAAGGTAATTTCTAGGAAAAAAACGAAGAGGGACAGATGGAAAAAGAGAAGAAAGGAAGGATTAAGACAACTGACGTGAGGCTTAGAGAGATTTAGGAGGAAAACTCAATATTCAATATTCACGAAATAAACAAAATCATAGACTAAGTTTTCTCAAATAGAAAGAGCCTTTGAATTATTACAACGAATCTCAATAACAGGAAATTAATAGTCAACATAATTTGCAAAAAGGTAAATTTAGTCTAACAAAATTCCACTAGCTAAAGGTATAGTTTAGTTTTTCTAATGATGTGATATTGAAACGAGCGAACACGAAGCCTCCCAGGAAGAACGAGTGCCCAAAGAGGGTTGGTTCACTTTCCAGGCCCCATGGGATTAGCCGGTTTCTTTGGGGGTCCAATTTACCTATTTGGGCTAATTAATTAAGGTTTCTTTGGCTTGAAACATTTAAATATATTGTGAACTTTTACTTGGACACTTCTTTCTCGAGTTTTATGCATTATGAATTATTTTCTAGTTTTCTTCATCGGAGTGTTGTATCATTGATCTTTCTTAAATGGTGTGCCTGCAACCTGATTGAATTTACCTGGCAATATCAGCTAGAAGTCAGATGAGCTCCAACACCACAGGTTGTACAAGTGACCTGCAATTTTTCTCTTCCAGTTTGCTGTCAAGCCACCATGTATATAGCTTTCTTAGCTGCCTTCTTCTATTTAACCTAATTTCTAGTCTGACAACTTACCCAAACCCGTCGTCAACCCTAGATTGGTTTCATTTGATATAAGAGCCCGACAAACCCTAAATTTCCAGAGATTTATTTTCTCTACTCTTAAAACTAAAGCCCACATAACCAAATTTATCAACTTTATCCTCTAACCCTAACCCTAACCCTAAACCACTCTCTTTATCTAAAGCTAAAAACACAGAGTGGTTCAAGAGACACCATATTAAGGAGAAACACGCTAAAAGGTATTCTGGATCTTACAATAAAAAATATGTAAAGGGGAATCATCCAACTAGAACAAAATTTAACCAAGTTTGAAGGGAGACAACCTGCGAAACTCACCTATAACCATAATGGTGATTTGTCAGATTGAGAAGAAGCTACCCCTACCACTAAGAAAATTCCAATGAAAGAACTATTGCCTCAGTGATTTGACATTGAATAGTAGAGGAGAGTCAACAACCTTAAGGTGAAAATGGACTTGTCAGGTTTTAACGAACATCAAAATCCAAATAATTTCATTGCGTGACTCCAAACTGTGAAAAGAAATTTTTAGAACAAGGACGTTCCTTAAGAAGAGAGTCAAATTAGCAACCATCAAACTCATGATGAAAGTTTCCATATGCTAGGAAAATCTGAAGCGTCTTCGACGGTGAGAAAAAAGGAATAAGATCACTAAATGGATAAAAATAGAGATATAACACAATTATCTTCTCCCACACTATCGGTAGGATATAATTTTAAGACTTGACAATATGCATCAGAGAGATTTATCTGTGGAGGCATATAAGACCGAATTTGATGAACTCGTGTTAAAATGTTAGTTAGTAGAACTATAGGAGAACTCAATAACTAAATACCTTGAAGTATTAAAGTCAACTATTGACAATATAGCGCAACTACAGTCTTATTGGTCCCTACTTGATGTATAGACCATATCTTTAAAGGTGAAGCAACATTTTCACTAGGGGACCACCACACACTATAGACAAGGCATGACTTTCAGATCAAGAAGAAAGTGCAAACCCTAAAGCACACGAGTTGACCCAATGTGAGGAGAAATCAGCATAGAGTGGAGAAAAGGTTGGAGGCACCAACACAATTAAATCCTTCACACTTAGAAAGTCCTTGAGTGTCATAATTTTGGACACATTGAATATCATTGTCCAAATAGAGGAGTGATCACTTTCATCGAGCAAGGAATAGTAAAAGAAATATATAGTGACATAAGGGACATAAGAAAATGTGGAAGCGTGAAGGAGTATCAGCTTTAAATCAATGGGGGGGAGAAGCTAGTGGTTCGACAAATCCATCAAACTGAGCACACGAAAGAGGAATAGTGGCTCCATCACAATATACTTCATGCCCATTATATCATGAAGAAAAATATGTATAGTCTCATCATAGACGGAAGCAGTTGTGAGAGTTTGGCGTTTACCCAAATGGTAGGCGGGTTAAACATTACTACACAAAAGCACTCAGGCTTATTCCTTATTTTGGTTGAAAAAAGAGAATAAGATTACACTTCATTAAAGATGCCTTTTAAATTTTAAGTGCAGGTGTAGAGAAACGTGGAACCTATAAATAGTTGTCACAACCATCTAGGTCCTTCTTGGTCATATAATGATTACACACATCATGATAGCTACAACACAGTTTTTCACTAATAAGAAAGACACATCATACTCTTAACTTGAATAAGTCCAAGTTAATGGGAGTCCACACAGATGTGAAACTATAACAATCCATGCTATCTTTCGTAAGACTTGAGAGAAGCATGGACGGAACTAGGATTGGTGATCCTAGAGGGCAGTGGGTCTGAAGAGTCAATACCAGACGCAGCTCCCGCTAGAAGAGTTTCAGGATATCCTGACTGACAGTTTTACTCCTAGTTTAACACCACAGAGGAAGACCTACCATGTTATAGATTTAATTTCGGATTTTGTTCTCCCAAATTAAGCTATCTACCACAAGCACCAAACCAAGTACAAGGAGTTACAAAAGTTGTTATAGACTTGATGGTTAGAAACTTAGTCCATGAGAGTATTAAAATGTGTGTAGTTTCAACTCTAATTGTGCCAAAGAAGAATGACACTTGGCGTATGTTTATTGATAACAGAGCTATGAACAAAATTACGATCAAGTATCAATTTCGCATTCCAAGGATACATGGCGTTTAACATCTTCAAAATTAATTTGCATAGTGGATATCATCGAATCAAAATGAAACCAATAGATGAATGAAAGATAGGTTTCAAGGCTTGGGATGGATTTTATGAGTGGAGAATCATGTCATTTGGCTTGTCCAATGCCCCGAGTATTTTTATATGACAGATGAAGCCAACTTTTAGAGCATTCATCGAAAAATACATTTTTCTAAATTGATGCTATTTTGTTGTACATTTATATCTTGGAGGATCATTTACAACATTTAGGAGAGAATTTTGAGATATTTGGACACCCTAATTATAAGATCACCTTAAGAAATATCACTTCTTAACTATGCCTACTTGCTTCCTTGGATACATTATATTAGCAGCTAGCATTGAGATGAATCCAACCAAGATCAAAATCATCGCTAACTGGCTCAGTCCACAAATCACTCACTCAGGCACGTCAATCTCATGAATTAACTTCTTTTTACGAAAGATTCAGCAAGAATTTCATCTCACTTGTAGTGCCCTTGACTAAGCTCATTAAGTCTGACTGATTCACATGGATGAGCATGGGCTAGCAAGTGTTTTAAGGTGGAGTATGATGCCTCCAATGTAGAAATTAGAGTTGGGCTAAGTTAAGACGAACACCCTCTTTTCTTCTTCAATAAAAATTTGAACGAGTCCAAAATTAAGTATTCCACCTAAGATAAAAAGCTATATACTATAGTGAGGGCCCTCAAGGCCTCAGCCATTGAAGTAATTACTTATTGGCAAATGAGTTCACTCTTTACATTAACCACAATGCCATGAGATTATTGAACAACTAGGATAAGCTAAAATGTTGACATGCCTCATAAGAGAAATTTATCTATTCTTCTCACTTTGTGCTCAAACATAAAACAGGGAGTCCAAATAAGATTTTTTTATGCCTCGAGTGGTCGTCAACTGTTCATCTCTACTATGCGGTTTGCAATAGCTAGGTATGAAGTGTTAAAAGATTTGTATGTCGCTGAAGAAAACTTTTAAGAGATTTGAGTTTGATATTATGAGACCTTATAATCAATAACATAAGTCTGATGGTTATTTAGTTCTTTTAAAATAGATTGTGCATTCCTAAGAGTTTACTTAGAAAATATGTCTTAGAAAATATATCTTATACAATTGTCGCAATAAAGGCATGACAGTACAGTTTGATAAAGAAAATACTCTTTCCTTTGGGAAATAACTTTTATTGGCTTGAGTTGGTATGAGATGTGAAGAGATATTTCAAGAATTGCAGGGTATACCATTTAGCTAAGACACAAGAACAAAATATAAGTCTATGCACTCCCTTTCACGTTCCATAATTACCTTGATTGGATATAAGATTGGATTTCGTGGTGGGCTTGCTCAGAACACAACAGAGTAAATATTCTGTTTTTGTGATTGTAGACCACTTCTCTAATATTGCACACTTCGTATTTTGCCACAGGACAATGGATACTTCTCATATTGTAGATTTATATTTCAGAGAGAGTTTTCCTTTCTAGCATGCCCCAAACCATCAATTCAAACAGAAACGTGAAATTTTAGCTACTTTTGGAGGACTTTATGGGATAATCTAAAAACAAAGATCCAATTCAATTTAACAGCTCACCCTTAGTTGACAACAAAATTGGTGAATCATAGTTTAGGTAATCTACTCAAGTGTTTCATGAGTACACTATTGGACAGTGGGATTTAATCCTCCTCTAGATTTAATTTTCTTATAACTGTTTTACCGGCCAGTCTGTAGGTATGGAAGAAATGCCCTCACACCCTTTGAGCTTGTCTCTTTACTCCTAGCTATTGAGCCAAATGTCGATGTATAAGTTAGAAAAATAGATACTCGGACCTTCATGAGTAGCTGAGGAAGAAAATCACTAAGTAAAACAATATGTACCAGAAGCAAGCTAATAAGTCCAAAAGATCTTAGATATTCAATAAAAGAGATTTAGCATGAATCAAATTAAAGAAAGAGAAATTTTCCATAGGCTTTTTTAGGAAACTCAGGCCAAGAGTTGATGGTGCATTCATAATTGTCAAGAAGATTAACAAAAATAAATATAAGATTAACCTAATGCGAAACTATAATATTTGTCGTTGTCAATATTTTTGATCTGACGTTCACTACAAGGATCCAAATGCTTCTGATGATGACCACAACCCCTCTCCTACCCAAGGAGAAGGACATAGGTGTTATGCATCCACCTCCCAGGTGGAATGAGTCACGACTGATCCAGGAAAGGACTAGTTCACTTTCTATCTCTAATGGAATTGGTCGATTCCTTTAGGAGCACAAAATTTGTCTTATTAGGCTAATTGATTAGGTTTTTTTTTTTGCATGTAACATTAAAAAATGTTATAAACTTCTGTTACGATAATTTTGCTCGATTTTTATGCATTAATACTGTTCTCTCTAGTTTTTCTTTTGTTAGAATATTGTATCATTGATCTTTCTTACTTGACGTGTTTGTTACTGGATTGAATCTATGTGGTGATCACTCCTAGAAGTCAGAAGACCTCCGACGCTGTAGCTTTTGAAGTCGACCTGCAGTATTTCTATTATGGTTTGCTGTCTAGTTGTCACTTGCGTTGATTCCTCTGCCGATATCCTCCGTTCACCCTCTTTTCACATCAAACAACTTACCCAAATCCTTTCTCGATCACCCCACAACTTCTAGCAACCCTAGATCAACGTCAATTATATGGGCTGAGATTGTCCTATATTACAAGTGTTAAAATGTTGAATACTTACACTAGAACAGATTGCACTAAGACAAACATATAACTAGTGTCCTAAAACAAAAACTCTTGAGATCTATAGATGAGCTCCCTGTATTTAATTGGTGAGCAAATTTCTTATCAAACGTCTTAAGGTCCAAAACTTCACTTGGTACATTTTGGGATAGCAGCCAACCCATAGATAGAAAAATATAACGGTCAGTTAGACACATAAAAGGGACCTTTAATTGCTCAAGAAAGGTTAGGCTCAACATACTTTATCTTGATGCATACAATTACTCGAGGGAAAAAGACTTGGATCAATCCCAAGATCCCAAAACAAGGACGAAACTGCCTCCAAGACAAGGACGAAACTACCTCCAAGCAAAAACCCATTACAAGTAAAATGAACAATTTTAATTAAAAATGGAATTTTTAAATGTAATATATTTATTGCATACGAACATGAGACTATAATTTTAATTTTTTTTAATTTGAAAATTTTAAATTTTGAATTTTAAAAATTTTGAAATTCAAAGATATGAGTTTTTAAAGTTTGATTTTTCAAAATGGAGGGAATTTTTAATTTTATCATGAAATTGATTTACTGACTTAAATTTAATAAAATTATGAATTTTCAAGACTCCCTGGTTGACCATAAATCTTGAGGAGATAGTTTTGGAGTAATCAAACCCTCCATAAACAAGCATTTGGCCACCCCCTAACTCATTCTTCCTTCTCCTAATTTATTTAAAATGTATGTAAACCTATTTAAATACTTATTGGTTTGAATGTAAAAGGATTTAATACTAATTTGTTAAATTCTTAGATTTTTCTTTTTTTTTCCCAAATAAGAGGGGGTTTGCTGGTTGACCTCACCATTAAAGGGGTTTGTTGATCTCTTCAAACCTTAGGATTTTGGCGAGTAGTAACTTGTAAGTTTACAAAAGCTCTAGGAGCCCTAATCCATTTTTGTTGTAAAACCTTTCTACAATATCCATTCCATATTTTCACACTCATTCCTTATCCCATTCTATCCTAATTCCACTTCAAAACTACATTGTGGGATCCTAGCTGGTACGATAGGACCTAATCTTGTTCTAATATTAACTTAACCTCTTAGGTTAGCTTTGGATATATTAAATAATACTAATAAATCTACTTAAAACCATAGAAAATTTATGAATCACTTCAGAGATAAAAAATGGCATACCATTCTAACTATTCTAAATGAATCACCACCCAAACTGAGAGCTTAGAATTGCAAATGGAAGATCAGACGGTCAGACAAAAATAACGGATCAGTCTACCCATTTCAATAATCCACAACAACTATCATTCAGATAGTAAGAACAATTTAACCATAAAAGTTATCTAAAACATCATTCAAACTAACATAAAAGGACATTCATAATTCAACAATACTAATAATCAAGAAAATCAAATATAAACAACAATGTCTAATATTTATTTTCATTTAAACCTCCTCTACAATAAACAAAATCTCTCATGTCAGTCATTTAAATTCAATTTAGTTTTTTCTGAAAGAGCAATTAGATAACATGTTAAGTTCTCAACAACTTGGTGAATGAGTATAGTTCTATTAAACGCTAAATCCTTTTGCATAATCTTAAACATAAATGCTCAAAAGAAAAACAATCATTAATCTTTAGGTAAGTTTTATAAATTTTTCAGTTTAATTTACTTTATTTTTTTGTATTTTTTTAAAGTCATTTTTAACCATTTACAATTTCAATTTCATTTTCTTTAAAAGTCAACTCAGAAGCACGGTCTGAAAACTCTATAACCATTTTTATTTCCATTTTCAAATTCCTGCACAGGGACAATAACATCCTTTAGCTAATACCACAAGAGGGTGATTTCACATTAGTTTGGACTACTACTTTTCATTTAAAAGATGTTTAATTGATTTGAATCATTGAACCCATTTGTTAAACTTTTTAAAGAATGCATTATTTGAAATAATTTAAACCAATAAACAATCATTTAACTTTCATTTATTATCAATTCAATTATAAAGATGGTATTATGTTTCAATGTTATAAAATAGCTTAAATATTTTTTAAAATAATATGCCTGTTTTATTTATATGTATTGTTATGATTTTATTCTTTGGAAGATATGAAATAAATAAAATGGTTTTTTAAAATAACACACACACGTTTAATTAGTCTATATCCTTATGATTTTTTTCTTGGAAAACATAATTGTTTTTAAATAAAAGAAAAAATTGACTGCATATAAAGCACTAATTACTCAACTTATCATTTTTTGTCAAATATAAAATCTAGTTTAGAATATAATTATCGATAAAAATTAAATAAATTGGTATACACTGAGCACAAGCCTTATATTTTTCCTTTATTGCAAACTCAACAATCATGATCCATCAAAGCTTTAAATTCATAGAGTTCTTCAATTTTGAATCCCTAACATCAATTAATAAACAATTATTCTATTAATGTTTAATAACTTCAAATCATGCTCGATTCGGCCGCCCCAGTTCACACAAACCACACAACCCAAGACGAAGGAACTCTCACATATGATGTCGCTGGTCCCTTGCAAATAGAACGCTTCGCCTCTCGTGCTAGACGACCCCCCTACACAAGACGCACAAACCGCCTTCACTTCTGATTGAGCTCTCTTCTCTCACATAGGATTCCCACATGCAATGATCAATTGACTTCATCATAGCTTTGGAACGTCTTTGCCTCTAATTGTTTCTCCTTCAAGCGTTCGAATGAACGAAACTTGTTTCTCCTTCGATTCCAACTCTTTCAACACAAAATGCACACTACTCACTTTCTTCTTCGTCTCTTTTTTTTCTCACTCGAATTCTTATGGAAATAAAACTTCCCCCTTTCCTCTCTTAGTAGGCGTAACCGAAATTGAATGTTATGTCGAACCATTATTACACTAAATGTTTCCAAAGCCTGAAATTACTTATTTTTCCCACACAAATTTTTAAACCCAAAAAAATGTGCTCATAAATTTGGGTTTGCTCCTCCATATTTGGCAGACCTCTTTATAGTAACACTTAATATCACTTATTCCAAACCCTTCCTAAAGCTAATAAATCCACCAATCAAAGATCTAACCCCAAGCCATATCAATATATCAGCTTAAAAAAAAACAGTAAAATATAAAAAAAAATATCGCTGAATAAATAAAAAAAAATACGAGAAGTAGCCATAGAAGAAATAAATCCAGAAGTCAATAGTTCCATGAAACGCAAATGTTTTTTCAACAATTTTAGTAAATACCTTCAGGGATGTCTCGACCATACTTCGGTATGGGTATGGTTGCCAGAATTGGAGTATTAGATTCAAAAACTCTCAAAACTGCAGGGTAAAATGAAGAACTGAAAAGCTCCATTTTACCCACTTCATCAATGATGAAAAGATCTGTTCCTTCTTTAACCTTCAATCACAAGTATAGCAATACACTTCACCATTTATTTTAACAGTGATTAAGGATAAAGCACATGGCGAACACAGCCACGCTTACTTCTAATTCAGGCAATGCTATTGTCTCAAAAGAAGGCAAATCTACTCTGTATTTTCCAACACAAGGCCAACTGAGGGATTTCCTATTACATGAGGGAAAAGAGAATGAATATAAACTCAAAATGAAAATTTTGGATAATAAAAAGTGAAGAGATTCCACAATGGCAACTTCATGTTCTGTATTACGGAATTGAGTAATGTCTTTCCGAAAATTAAAGACAAAAAAAGTTGGTTACCTACACCATGCAGGAAAAAGGCATGTACTGATAAGTAATAATGTGGGAGAGCATTTGAAAAAAACATATAAATTGTTGTTTTTTTTTTAACAAAATGATGCAGGATGCCATAGGATTAAAATCTAAAACTTTTCTAATCTAACTAAATGATATAGTACACAATATCATGCACATATAAGAAAATTTTGCAGTTCATAGACCATCAATTTAAAACTATTGTTAAAACCATGAAAACAAGCAAAATTTTCCAAACAACATTTTAATGGTCATCTAATATAATTTTTGCATAGAATTCAAAATAAAAAAAAACACGTGTTGATTAAAGATAATAAAAAAATTCGGATTGAAGAAATTTTGATAAATTTCACTCATGCAGATAGACCAAAACGTACATGACCCTAAAGAACCTAACTGAAACCTAGATAACTTTAGACTCACTTAAAACTTAACATATTCATCTGCCCAAAACCTAAAGCCATACCAAACAAAAAAAGCAAAGAGGGAGGGGGAAAGTGTGATTTGGATGACATGAATTAACATATTAATGTGTGTATAAGTGAGTGCTCATTTGTATGTGAATATGTATGTGTATATGGGTGTTAATGTGTGTATAAGTGTATGTGTCTATGCTAATGTGTGTGTGATTGCGATGTGCTAATGTGACTGTGTAGATGTGTATAAATGTGTGTGTACGTGTATGAATATCAAAGTGTGTAAATGTATGAGTGCTAGTGTGTCAAAGTGTGTGTGAATGTGTTAATATGAATACTCATAAAAATATGTGTGCATGTGTTGAATGAATATGTTTTAGTATGTTTCTGCATGTATGAACATGAACATGTGTGTGTGTGAATATGGATGTGTGTGTAGGTGTTTAAGTGAATGTGTGTGTGCCAAAATCAATAACCCATAAGTTTATGTGATGTTCAATTTGTTATTTACACTGTCATACCATATGCTTACATGATTAGTGTTAAATCTTATGATTAAAAGAAATCCATGTGTTAACCTATGTTTCATGCTACAAAAAAAATCCATGTTATCTTATGTCTTATGTTAATCAAACCTGCAAAACCCTTAGGTAGCTTATGTTTACATATTCATGCAAGTTCAGATGAGCTATATATTTCCATGCAAATTAGGATGAACTTTATATTTCCATGCAAGTCAAGATGAGCTTTATGTTTCCATGGAAGTTGGTGAGCTTTAATTTCACAAGTACAAGTTGGATAAGCTTTCAATTTACAAAAGTATGCAAGTTCGGTGATTTCATGCGTGAATTATAATCTCATGATAGTTATGGACTTATGGTGACCTACAATCTATGGTTGATGTTTTAGGGAATTTTTTTTCTTAAATAAAGAGAGAAAGTTCAACAAAACTTATAAAATAAAATCATATTTTAATATGTAAATTAAATGTGCTCTAAATAATATCTTTTTATATACCAAATAAATGTGCTAAAAAAAATAATTTTTCAAGCTCAAGAGAACCACTTCCAAAGATCTTTTGAAGATAATTTTAAATAAAGAAAACACTACATAAAAATCAAAACTAAAATTTCTTTTAAGACGATTCAAAATAACCAAATTAAAACCATAGCTTTTCCAAAAAACCTCTTTTAAAAATAAAAATCAAACCCCTCTTTCATCAAAATTAAAACTCTAAAAACTAAATAATTTTAAACTAAATCTAATAAACTTAAACAAGTAAAATCTAAATCCTTACGGAATCTAAAAACTTTAATAATCAAAATTTTCACCTTTAAGAAGAAAACCATCATTAAAATTTTCAATAAGCATAAAAAAGAGAAAATTTAAAAACCCTTTCAAAATAAATTTAAACCTTTATTCAAAATAAACTGAAATCATTTTTAAAGTAAAATGTTTTCAAACCACAACTAAAATTAAAACCTTTTCAACCAAAACATAAAATACTTTTTAACAAAAAACTGATATAGTTTCAAGAATGAACATGTCCTTTCCAGAAGCATGTGATTCATAAACATAGCCCTTAAGCATAAAAGACTTGGGTCAGTTCAAGTATACACAATTCATCATATCACCAACACTCTTCTCATGATATAAACTTTTATAAACTCTCCTTTGTTGTGTGTAAGCAAATATAGATTTTGTAAGCATGTGAATGAAACTTAGATATAAAGAGTGTAAACATGAATTATTTGAATTAAACATCCTGACATGTCAAATAAACACAACATTTAACTAAACACTAGAGATCAAACCCTAGGAGAAAGAATCAAATAGAGAACATCAACTCAAAATAGAAAACCAAACTTGAACTTGGAGGGAAACTCTAATTTATCACAACTGGTAAATTAAGAAAAATAAAACTTTGAACCTATAAGAATCCCAATTTTCACCATAACTGACAAACAATGAATCAAAATAAATCATAAGTTAATTATTGAACCCCAAAATATTTAAAATTCACCAACTCTAAATTTTAACAACCATCACCTACGAAGCCAACATGGAAATAAAACTCAGGACCACAAAAACCCTTGAGAAGTCCAGTCTAGAAGCCTATAATAGTATACTAAGTACCCCATAGCTAGTACTAAGGACTAGGACCTATCAAACAAACAGCCTTACTCCTTGGATTATGTGGGTACCCTAGGAATAAAGTAACCCATAGTTACTAATGAAGATTCCCCAAACCATTTAATACTAGGAAGGTCTACCTTAGTCACCACTATGGCAACAAGGGAAAACATATTATCTAGTTTTTTATAGCTTAAGGATCTCTTAGTGCACCCAAAATGATTGAAAGCCATGGGCATCTTAATGGGGTTGTTATTCTTAAAATTTAGGTTAGTCCACTCTTTTAGCCTCCTTAGAGTTATTTTACATTGAGGCTTCACCTCTATTTAGAAAACCCCCATCCTTTTGTACCCCTAAACTTTGGTCAATTCCAAACTCAGACCTAAATCCAATTTTCTCAAATCCAACTTCCAAATCAAATTCAAACAAATATCAAACTCAACTTCATATCAATTTCAAATTCAAATTCAACTTGCTAAACTCAAATCTACTCCAAACCCAATTTCAAAGATCAAATCCAATTTGACTTGTCTATATCTTCAACTTAAATCCAAACTCCAACTCCAATCCAAATCCCAAATCTGATATCAAATTCTAAATTTCAGTCTCAAATTGTCAGACCCAAATCCTAAAATATTAAGATCTTAAAACTCAAATTAAAATTTAAAACTCGAACCCAAATTAAATAAAACTTAATTAAATTTCTACCAAATTTTATTAAATATAATAAATTTCAATCAAATAAATGAAGCTTCAATTAAACCTTATAAACTTCAATTAACTATAACTTAAATAAACTCAACAAAAACTTAACAAAACTTAATAACCTTAAATAAATTTTAACAAACTTTAAGAAACATAAATGAATTTTAATAAATTTTAACAAACTTTAAAATAAGATTTAACAATCTTTAACAAACTTAAATAAACTTTAACATACTTAAATGAATTTCAATAAGCTTCAATGAACTTTAACAAATTCTGGTAAATCTTAATAAACCTTAACAAATTTTAACAAAATTAAATATAATAAACTTTAATAAACTTAAACCAACCTTAATATGCATTAGTAAACCTTACATCATTGACAACTCAAACAAATTTCAATAATAAACTTAATAATCATTAAATAAATCTTAATAATCTTCAAATAAACTTTAATAACCCTAAAATAAACTTTGACATAAATTTAAAACAATCCTAAAAATTTTATCCAGCATTAACGAAATAAACAATTTCAAACAATTTAAATAAATGATTTTAGACAAACATAACATAAACAAATTTAAACTTATTCCTAACAAACACTTCTAAAACAAATTTAAATCAATCAAAATAAATCAATTCAAACCTTCAAATGAAATGAAACTCAAATAACTCAAATTTTCAGCTCAAATGAATCAACTCTAATAAAGCTTACCCAAATCCTTCCAATTTAACTAAAATCATTTTGATTTATTAATCTGAGTCTTCGATATCAATCATCTCACAAACATTTACCAATAATCATACACAATATAAGTCAAAACTTTAATCGAGAGTATTCTTAGAAGCCACCACTCCAAAGACAAAATTAACTATGACGGCTTCACCTCGTAGGAATACCAGACTACAAAATAAAATAAATCTTATCCTACACCCATATGATTAGGGAAAACCCCTTGATTCTGTAGACCCATAAGTCATGAAAAATTTTATTATTCAGGTGATTATATCAATTCTAATGAAATATTTCAATCCTTCGAGATAGTATGTTATTCTTCGAATGTTGTGTCTAATCATTTGGATAGAAATCTTTCGATACACAATAAAAAACCCACCACGCCCTTTTTCCTCTTCAAAACTACTCAACCTGCACTAGAGTTGTAAGAATTTGTTTTCTTATCCTAGAAACATTGTAAGTCTCCTCTTACTCCCTTCATCAACATTGCTCAGCTAGGGCACAACTCATCTTTCTTCATTTTCTTCCTTCTTCCTTACTCTCTGCTAGTCAGCTAGGGCATGCAAGTACCCTTCCTTCCTCTTCTTCCTTCTCCTTCACTGTTGTTTTTTCCTCTAATTCCTCTGCCTCTCGCGCTCTCTATTTGTTCCATTCGAATGAAAGGATACCTTCTTCGACTTTTAAAAACAAGCCTGTAGAGACACGTCTATTCAATTATAATTATTAGTATTACTATTATTTATTTATTATTTATATATTTTATTTAAGAATTTAAGTTACTATATTGATTTTGTATCTTTGGTTTTCACGATTGTTACTCAACCTAATTGGAAATGAGTTTTGAGCATCTCGGTATTTATAATTTCTTATAAATGTGTGCTACAAATCTCTATCTCCCCTACCTATTATATGGAGTAAATGAGACCCTTAATGCTCTTTTTCTTTCTTCTGTAATGTGATTTCCTCTAGTTGTTTAGTTGTTCAGTACTCTACCCAGGTCCCTTCTTTGGCACTGGACCACCAAACATTTAGTCCGTTCTTGGCTCTAGGACTCTAAATTTGGGAGCTGGCATTTGCTTTTGGACTCTTCAATTGGGTGAAGTTATCTTTCTTAGCCCAACTTAGCTAGATTTGGGGGGTAGGACATTAGTCCAATAGAAGTTTAACATATTCCAATGAAAGGAAGGCTCAAATAGTTACTCAACATATACCGTACAACACATTCAAGCATATAAGTATGAGTATAAGCAAACACATCATGCATAATAACTGAGCAAGGGGACGCATCAAGTGACGTAGATATGTGAACCTTACAACCTCCTAAAAAATGGACGCATGCCCGATAATGAAAGTTGAAACATTGTAAAGACAATGTCAATCTCTAACATAAATTTAAAGAGGGAAAAAATGAGCTAACAAGTATGGCCCAAAATTAAGATTGTAAACTAAGTGATCCAATTTATGACTTGCCATACATGGGACTGAGAATGCTTATGATTTGGACTTACAACCGCCAACCTGACCCAGTTGATAGCATAAAATCATGGTATTTGATTTTCATACAAATACAATAAATGATAAGAGTAATATATAAGGAATGGGATTTATGGCCTCACTACTAAATCAAAAGTGGCTCAACCTTTAATTGGGTGAATGTGGGTGGGGAGTAAACAAGCCGAACACGAGCGAGCACAAGCTCAGCTCGTATTCGACTCGTTAAAAAATACCACTGCTCTTGTTAGGCTTGTTTATATTTCGAACAAAAAAATGTGCTCGTATTCGGCTCGTTTGCTTAACGAGCCAAACATGAGCTGTTCGCGAACAAAGAAACGTTTAGACAACCCTAGTCACACAACTGTAGCATATTAAGGGTTGGGGGAAGATTTAAATCTTATTTCTTATATTAAAACATCATTTAAATATAATTTAATATATTTTATTTTATTTTCTTAGTTAACAATTTTAATTGATTATAAATCTTTGTAGTCTTACAACAACAACAACAACAACAACAAAGCCTTAATCCCGCTATATGGGGTCAGCTACATGAATCTTATTTCTCCATAGCGTCCTATTTAGTGTCATATTTTCATTTAGTTCTAATAAAATAAGATCATTTTTCATATAATAAGCCCAAGTCTTTGTAGGTCTACCTCTATCTTTCTAAACATAAGTTGAATCGAAAACATCTACTATCCTAATCGGATCATCAGATAGTCGACGCTTAATGTAACCAAACCATCTAAGAAACCAAACCATCTAAGACGAAAACCATCTAAGACGACTTTCTCTAATTTTATCTGTCACTGGATCTACACCAACCCTATCATAGATATAATCATTTTGCATTTTGCCTCTAAGTGTAACGCCACTCATTCACCTAATCATTGTCACCTCGACAACACTTAGTATTATGCTTCTCTTTTAAAGGTCAACATTCAACGCCATAGAGAATTGCAGCTCTCACCAAAGTCTTATAAAATTTTCCTTTCAGTCTAAGCAGTACTTTTCTATCACACAAAAGGCCCGAAGCAATCCTCCACCGCAACCAACCAACATGAATTCTACTATTAACATCCCCATCTATATCACCATCGCTTTGAACAACAGACCTGAGATATCTAAATAATTCACACCTTTTAATAATTTGATCACCAAAGTTACACTTGTGTCACTAGAGCTACTACTACTAAAATTACATTCCATGTATTCAGTTTTAATTCTACTCAAATGAAGACCTTTAGACTCCAATGTAGACCTCCATAATTCAAGTTTTTCCTGGGTTTTTTCTCTTGTCTTATCCACGAGAAGGATACCATCAGCAAAAAGCATACACCAAGGTACATCCTCCTGTAAATGTCCAGTAAGACCATCCATAACTAAAGCAAAAAGATATGGGCTTAAAGCCGATCCCTAATGTAATCCAACAGAAATTGGAAAATATTTGGTCAATCCTCCTTCAGTTTGAACACAACAGCTCTAGTATACATATCTTTAATAACTTGAATATAAGTCATATCAACACCTTTCTTCTCAAGAACTCTCCAAAGGATATCTCTTGGAACATTATCAGAAGCTTTTTCTAAGTCAATAAAAATCAAATGTAGATTTTCCTTATTATATCTGAACTTCTCCATCAAACTTCTCAATAAATGTATAGCTTTCATCGTAGTCCTACCCGGCATAAATCCAAATTGATTATGAAAAGTCTTTGTAATACGTCTTAATCTATGTTCAATTACCCTCTCCAATAATTTTAAAGTATGACACATCAACTTAATTCCTCTATAATTTGCACACTCTTATGCATCCCCTTTATTCTTAAAAATGGGACCAAAATGCTCTTCCTCCACTCGTCAGACATCTTTTTAGTTTTTAAAATAATATTAATGAGTTTAGTAAGCCAAGAAACTCTCAAATCTCCTAAACATTTCATATTTCAATTGGGATATCATCAGATCCTACAGACTTTTCACCCTTAGTTTTCTTTAAAGCCTCCTCAATTTCTTTTTTGCTAATGCGAAGATAAAAATGAAACATTATATTAATATTCATGATAATAAGAAAACTAAAACTACTCATCAATTATATATATACACACACACACACACACACATATAATTAACTATTTTAAGCCAAAACGAGTCGAACACGAATAAACAAATCTTTGTTCGTGTTTGGCTCATTTAAATATCGAGCGCAAAAAAATTATTCGTGTTTGACTCGTTAATTTAGCAAACGAATCGAACACGAGCTTCTTAACAAGCCGAACACGAGCTGATCGCGAACAATAAGCCGTTTTGACAGTGATAAATGTGGGAGTTGGAATTTTTTCTTCAGATAGTCCAAGTTTCCTCTCTTCGCATCGCAGTTGCTCGATGGAATTCCTGAATTCTCTTTGCCCACTTTACTCACCATTCACTTTTTTCTGGACATTTTGGTGATTGGTCTTCTTGTGTTGAGCGGCAGCTTGTCCTTTCTCATCTATCGCATATGTTGATTATTCGCATTGGATTTCTTTGGTGATTCTTTTTGCCAGTTACGCCAGACACTCAATACTACTGTCTTATTTTGAAATGTTTGATTGTCTGTCGATTCATACATCTTTTTTGAAATGTTCAATGGAATATTTCAAATGTTGTGTTTTCTATGTTTCACAATTATTCTTATAATTTGTCTGTCTTTCTTGGATAATTGGGTATTTTGATAGTGTTTTTTTCGAAGCTAAGTTTGTCCAACTCTTTTAGAGATTTCTTTTACAATTGTTTTCTATCTTTTTTTGGATTTTTTGTGTTTTCTATGTTTCACAGTTATTGCTATAATTTATCTGTCTTTCTTGTAATCTCAATATTCCCAAAAATGATTCAGTAGAGGATAAAAAATATTTTGAATCAATCAGTATTGTCAAAGATTTGCATGGCTCTGAGATGCAGCAACAAAAAATTCAAACAATAATGTGAAACATTTCCATGTTTGTGAAATGAAGCAATCAAAATCAATCATTGTTCCATAATCCACACCGTAGGCAACAAATGTTACTTGGTTTTCCATCAAAAACTAGAGTTTGAGCTTCACAACCCTAAACCACAAATAAGCAATTTTCTCCCGGTCTACGCTGATTTCGTCGTCTAAAAACTAAGAAATCAACGAATCACAAACCTCGACGCAATTGAGGTGGCCAGAGTTCCGCGCCTACCGTCCAAGGTCACCACTTCAAATCCAACTCTCGCTGAGCCCTCCCTAATCTCCCCTACAATTCAAATTTATATTCGAATTTTAAGAAATTGAAAGGAACCAAAAGAGGCGGACTGGGGAGCATACGGGTGTAGAATCCTTGAATGTTGAGTTCTGGGTGGGAAGCTCGAAGACTCTCGACCACTCTCATTACCAACGTCGTTTTGCCCACGCCCTGCAGCGCATCCGCATTGCCGCCGTCGCGATGCGATGAGTTAGGAAAAAATGAAATGAAGTGATAGAAAACAATAGGGAGATTGATGATGAAGTACGAGAGAACTAACCCGCGGTCCGGTGACCAGGAAACATTTACCAGAAGCGACTGACATTAACCCTACTCAGCTGAAAGCCGGGAACGGAGCTAAGCTTGGAGCGGATCTAGCGGCGGACCGTGATTGTTATAAAAACCGTATTTTTTTTTTTTTTTTTTTTTTTTTTTTTTTTATTCTCCTAAGTAAACAGCAATTAGTAAAATTAGAAAGTATTAACAAATATCTTTTTAGAGAAATTTTAAGCCGTATATTTAAACGAGTAAAACTGCGCAGTGCGCATTCACCAAATATATTTACATCAAATTTAAAAATTATTAACATAACAAAATTTAAATTATTTTTTAATTTATATTTAATTTAAAAATAATAAAATAATAAATTTATGCTATGGCGATCTCATCAACTAATTTTATGATTTGACATGAATCTCAATTTTTTTTTTAGTGAGAAATATTTTCAATCAAATTAAAAATCCTGTAAAGCTTCATTTTCACGAATGTATAGTCAAACTAATTGGCTCAATGAGACGAACATGATGATACAACAATTGATCCATTATAGGTTGAATCAAGTCGAGAACAAGCCGTTAAATCACTTTTAAAGGCTTAAGGTGGTTAATTAAAGGGTCAAATAGACTCTAAATTTGATGTGTTTATAGTCAAATTAAGCGTCTCAATAAGAGGAATTCAATGAGCCTAAGATTTTTCGATTCTAATGTCACTAAGACCATACAAATATTAGAAAAAAATTTTTAATCAAGGGAAATGAATCTGGGCCGTTTGATCGGTGATTATGGCAATTATTTATCAAATGACCAAAATGCCCCTCCATTGAAGTTTAGAAATAGACCACCTCTTCATTTGAGGGGAGAGGAAGAAAGAGAAAAAGAAGCTCATTTTACAGTGTTGTTCTGAGTTGAAGTCCCGACAATAACTTCTGACCTCCATAGTTACCGACCATCGCTTGCCACCGTCGTAAACCACCATCGACTGCTCCCTGCTATAGTGGACTTTGTAGAGTAATGACATGCATTGCAAAGTAATAAAATATTTTGTGGAGTAATTCTACACAATGCAGAGTAATGAAGTATCATGTAGAGTAACAACACATTATGGAGCAATAAGTACCCTTCAAAGTAATAACACACATTTTGGAGTAATAAAGTACTTTATTTTGTGGCAAAGTCTCCTGCATACTGAGCGATACAGTCACTACATGAAAATCATCTATAACTGATGACATAATCGATGCTTTTTTTGCATCGAAAATAACCGTAACCCCCACTATGTCGTAAATTTAGTAAGCGATTATTAATTTGTTGATAACCAAAGGATTGAGACTGTCAGAAATCGACTACATTTTCGTAGCAAGTGCTCTAATTACTGTGCAATGATGTACCTCCGTTGACTGAAACCTATTAACCTCTCTTTCTTGTCAAATTTTTTATTAGCTTGAGTTTAAATTACTTTCATTTGAGTTGAATCTAGAGAAAACCATGATTTAATCAAACTGAAATTTAACTTGGTGAAGATTGAAATCAACCAAAATTCTCTAATTATAACTCATTTTAACCAAACCCTAAAAAGAACCTTAAAATCAACTCTCATTAACCTAAACCCACTGATCCAAATTACATTATGTAAATTACATAATCTTCATAATAACATATGTAAATTGTATGCAAACTAGTTTGGTGGTCACTAGACATCATTTTTACATAAGATTATGCACCTAGGGTTTAATGCATAAAAAATGGTCCCACATAAATTTTTTAATGAGTAATTATTTTTCAAAATGTACTTCACTATTGTGTCTTATAGTTGAAAACTTTTAAATGAGTCCATCTGTGCTTAAATCCAACTCTGTTTAGAGGTCTGTTGAGCCAACGATAATTAGGAGAGAGCAAATTAATAATTTCAATAATAAAATGATAATTTGGCCATAACTAACTCAAAATGACTTTAAAATGAAATTGGACCTCACTTAAGGTTTTTTTAAATTAACAAAAAAAAAACACAAGTTGGTCCAAAAAAATTAATCAAAAACTCCAACATAAAATCCACCAATTTTTTCTTTCATTTCAAAATATCTTGATATGGAGCTTGTTTTGATTAAAACCACTTGCAAAACTAAATTCCTTGCATTTTTCTTATCAAAAGAGTCCTAGTCTAAAACTTGAGCTATAAATATCTTTTTCAAAATGGTTTTTTAAATGATATGTAATTATTTTCTGTCATAACTACCCTAACTATCTTGAAAATTACCAAAATACCCACTTTTTTTTAAAATTCCCTCGTGTGCTTCTCTATCCAACTCTTTGTTCCCTTTGTAATCTCCCTCCCATTTGTTTCTCCATCTCTCCACATCACCAATCCACCTCCTCCTTCTCAACTTTACACTTCATCAATTCCAATCCCCTCTCTCCTCCACTTCATCCAATCCCCACCATTCATTTCCCTCTTCCCTCCATCCTAGCCATCCATTCCTCCACATCATGGCAAAAACTACTTGCTACTCTCTTACAATTCCCTCTCCCTCTCAAACTAAGCATTCTGCCCCCATTCTTCCCACTTTCTCCCATTTTGCTCTTCTCACCTAAATTCCTCTCTTCTCCATCCTCTCCCACTTTCTCCTTCTCTCAGTTTTCACTCGATCTCTCACCTTCCTTCTTCATCAAACAGAGAAACTCTTCATTCCAATCCACCACAAAACTGAGAAAAATAAAGGGAAATTAAGGCAAGGAAGAACATGGAAAACAAGGTTCTTCTTCATCCAAGGAAAATGATTAAGTTCCCTCCAAGGAAGGTATAATTTCTATCCTTTATTCTTTAATTTTACTTTTCACCATGTGACTTGTCAATTTTCCATATTTTATGTTTCCTTATTGGATTCTCTTATATGTTTCATCGTAAATTGCTCTGTTATTGTATTCCCTTAAATTTCCACCATGAATTGTTTTCCTTTTAATTTCTCTTATATGTTCACCAAGGATTTTCATGTGTTTTGCATTATCTTGTATGTTCACCATGGATTTTGATGTGTTTTCCATTCTCTTGTATGTTTGACAAAAATTTTGATTGATTTTGCATTCTCTTGCGTGGTCACCAAGGATTTTGATGTGTTATTCATTCTCTTATAAGTTCAACATCTTTTTTTTTGTTTTCCTTTTTATTTGCTTGCATATTTCCACCAAAATTTATTTAATTTTAATTTGTTTTGCATGCTCTTGCATGTATTACCATGAACTTGCCTTGCTCACCTACCCTTTCCATTTTTCTTTTATACCCAAGATCCTAATCCACTTTACGCACACTGCCCAAAACCCATGACCCAAACACACCCTAACCTGAGCCATATGTCCACTTTACCCTCCCTAATCAAGGCCACTAGCCTAATTAGTATCTAACCAGAGTCCTAGAATCACTAAATCATCTAATCGATCCCCTAGCTCACCTAACCACCTAACATAAACAATGGATCCATTAAACCATCTAATTTGGGACCTCTATCCCACCTAGCGACCTAACCCAAGCCCAAGGTGACCTAGACCACCTAGCTCACCCCCTAACTTAACCCAAATACCTAAATAGAGCGGTAGAACTAACGTAAGAGCTTAACCCAGCCCCACATTAGCCTAAGCACACTTAAGCCCACCAAAATCTAGCCTAAAACACCTTAGTCGAACCCTAACAAAAAAAACAAATAAAAATAAAAAATATGTTTATAAATGATAAAGAGAAGAGGGAAGAAATTAGTGTATGTTAGTGTTAATATATGTGTGGTGTGGGGAGGGGGGGGGTGTGTTTATATATTAATGTTAATTTGTGTGTGGTGTATTTTGGTGTTAATTTGTGTGTGGTGTATGTTATGGTGTTAATGTGTGTGTGTGAATTAGCGAGTATTAATGTGTAAGTGTTTAGATGTGTTATGGTTTAAGTGAACATATGTGAAAGTGTAAAGGTAAAGAGGGAAAAAAAAAGAAAAAAATACGTGTTAATGTAAGTGTGCATGTATGTAAGTGTATAATTACGTTAATATTTGTATGAGTGAATGACTATGTGTATGTGAATGTGCTAGAATGAAGTTGGGATGTTTTCTCTAATTTCCATGCAAGTTGGGATGATCTCTTTAATTTTCCTATTAGTTGAATAAATCTTACTTTATCACTTTCAAGTTGTGATTATTTCTTTAATTTGCGTGCAAGTTGGATAAATCTTAATTTAACACATGCAAGTTGGGATGAATTTTATATTTCTATGTAAGTTGGTACATTTGATGCAAGTTGATATAACTTGAATATTTCATACAAGTTCAGATGAGATTTACATTGTCTTGCAAGCTCTTATATTTTATTTCCATGAAAATTTATGTATGTTATTTATGACATAAATATGTGGTTGATGTTGTTTATATAAGAAAGGATCCAATTCCAAGGGCTAAGTAAGTGAGACAACCCAGTTAAGCTTGTTAGAAATGAACAAAGATTCTTCCTTAAAAAATCAAGCTTGCCTTTCTCTCTTAAAAAAAATAGAGAGGAAATTAATAATAACACTTAGGGGTAAATCTAAGTGACACTTTTTCTATGTCAACTAAATATGCTAAAAAATGATAAGTTTAAAAAACATTTGTGAAGGTTCAAGCTCAGGAGAAGCTCCTTTTAAATGAACTTTTTGAGGATGATCCCAAATAAATTTAAAAAAAAAACATTTCCTAAAATTAAAAATTAAAACTAAAACCTCATATAATAATAATTTTACAATTTTTTTGGAGAATTAATTAAAACCATCCTCCTTTGAAAAAAAAAACTTTAAAAACCTCTTTTAAAATCAAAATTGAAATATTTTTATTTAAAATTTAATAAACTTGAAACCCATAATAAAAGAATAAAAAACTTCCAAAAAGTAAAATAAATAGAAAAAATATTTTAATAAACTCAAATCATTTCTTTTAAAAACTATAACCTTAAAAACTTTTAAAATTAAAATCTTTTAATAAAACCTTAACTCAAAACCTTCTAATTTTTAGGTGACAAAGTACTGCACCTCTCAAAACACTTTGTGAGAAAGCAAAATTGACCTTTAGTCCTAATCAACCAACAACACTTCCAAAG